TCTGGCCTGGGTGGGATCTGGTATCCATTCTTCAACACAGATGTCCCTAGCTTTGCAATTGCCCTTTTGTGGTCCCAATGTGATTGACCACTACTTCTGTGATGTGCAACCATTGATGCTACTTGCCTGCATGGACACTTATGTGATAAATTTGCTAGTTGTGTCCAATAGTGGGACCATAAGCATGGTAAGTTTCATAGTCTTGCTTATGTCGTATGTTGTTATTTTGTACTCCCTGAGAAACCACAGTGCAGAAGGAAGGCGAAAAGCTCTGTCCACCTGCACCACCCATTTCATTGTGGTTGTCATATTTTTTGGTCCACGTATATTCATATACACATGCCCACAAACCACATTTTCAGTGGACAAGATGGTGTCTGTGTTTTACACAATTGGGACACCCTTGCTGAACCCTCTGATCTATACACTGAGGAATGCAGAAGTGAAAAATGCCATGAGAAAGTTGTGGTGTCGCAAATTATGACTTCTGTTGATAAATAAAATATGATGGAATTAATTTATACTTGGTTAATATCTTAGTTTATTTTTCTTTTTGTCTTACATGGAAACATAAAATATTCCTATCAGGAAACTATATATACATATATATGTATGAATACATGTACATATACATGTGTGTATATATATCGCATTTTTATATATGTTGATTATATATATATATTTATTATGTATGTATTGATTATATAGATATTGATTACATATAGATATTGATCGTATATATGCATATGTTGATTATATACACACATTTCTTATTATGGGAGGGTTGCTTTAAAATTTAATTACTTAAGGCTTATAACCATCATTTCATTTTTGACAACTTCCAATTTTCCTAGATTCATACTTTGTACATTTCATGTTCTGATTATTAATGGATGTTTGCATCTGTTTCCACTCATTTTGAGTTGGTCCACATCAGCAAATGGAGGTCCCAAAAGCTTTACTTCATCTGTGTCCTTACGGTCGACTGTACTTGGAGGAAGGAGGCAGCTCTTCCCCATTTGTATTTTGAGTCCCTTCTGAGCTGAGGTGCTCATGTTCAGGCACTATATTTGACAAAGTTTCAGGGCTATTCATAAGGTTTTTTCAGTGCTGTATCAGACAGTGCTTCACTCCTATTCATAAGGTTTTCACTGGCCAATTCTTTGAAAAGTTGATGGCCTCTGCCTTCTTCCAAGTCTGTCTTAGTCTGGAAGCTCCACTGAAAACTGTCCACCGTGGGTGACCCTGTGGTTTTTGAAATGCCAGTGGCATAGCCTCCAGCCTCACAGCAACACACAAGCCACCAAAGTATGAGAAACTGGCAGATGAGTCCTAGGGTTACATATTTTGCTGCAACGTCTCACAGAACTCACAAACTCCCAAGGAAACAGCTCACCTCATGATGGTGGAGGCTGGGAGGCTGGCATCCTGACAAGTCCCAGGTCTGTGGATAGGTCTAGAGGATTCTCCCAACTCACCGAGGTTGGTGAACCCAAATCAGCAAGTCAGATGATGGCTGCT